GATAATCGGATTGGATGGAGGTTATGTTAAGCTTACGGAACAAACTTCTTATGCCTGAAGAAAGCTAGATTTGCTGACAGTGTTTGGTCCCCTTCTTGCATTATCTATTAAATCGGGGTCTTATCAGCCCCCGACCTGTCAAATGCGCCCCATTTCAATTTGAAATAGTTATTGTGGTGAGATGTCATACTGGTAAAAAATGCATCTTGATCACCCCCTCAGTTGTACGCATGACTCGTTCAAGCGGCACATCCTTTTGTTCCCCGATATTGGCTCCCGAGGAACCCACACGGTAGACGGGTTCGGCAACGGGGAGGAGTCCGTAGCACCATCAAAACTGGATTTCCTTCCTCGCAGCACGAACCACTCTGGCTTAGTTATTCTTTAGTGATTGTTTTGCCAAGGAAGATCGGCGTTACGGGATTTGGTAGTGCGGTTCCGGATTATCAGCGCATAAGCCGGGGTTATACAACATGCTGACCGAGCCGAATCTGGCCCTATCATTCTATATCATATGACGTGTAACTCTCCGAAGATGAATGAAGGATATCTTGAAAAACCGGATGAACGGTTACGCACGCGCAGATAATTTATCGCACGTGGACTTGTTGGGTTTATCACAATGCAGGTTGATTCTTAAGAGAAGGGATCTGCAGTCTGTGCTTTCGAATCATTGGTGATCAGTGGAACGACGCGGAACAGCCCCAGGCCCTTAGCTCGAGTGATACATGCAAGTTGAACAAGACGGGCTCTGCCGCTGCATAAGGCTTGTGACTAGACAATTTAATTCGATGTGCCAAGGTCACTCTGGAACAGGAACCCTTGTTATTGCTCAAAAATGTTGCGTGCATAGCTTCTAGTGCTGTCCTCGCCCACTTTGTTGAAACTCTAAAGGGCCGGATAGCAAGCTGAGTTTGGCTAGATCTCCATTTGTTGTCCATTGATCCTCACTATCGTCAATCTGTTCAGCAGTCGATTAAATGTTGTGCCAGTCGTGGCAGCTTCTCGACCCTCCTTTGCGCATTGACATGACAAATAACCCCAGTCCAGCAACGTATACCCCAGGACCCTGAGCTGAGACATTTATCTTGTCTTCTATCACCGCTGACTCAGAAACCCTCCGACTTTGTTCACATCCTTCCATTTAGTTGACAAGTAGCGCCAACGCCGCGGGCCAGCACGGGTTTAGTGCCAAAAATGACTGCGGGACGGTGTAACGTCCGCGGTGATATGAAATTGAAGTACTAGGAAAATGCTTGACGTTTTTGACAGGCCGCTAAGACATACTAGCTATACCTACTGCATATAAGAACAGTATAATGCCCTGCCAGTTTGTGAGATCTACACACATACTTTCTTGTCCAGAACGTTTGCTACCATGCGCTGCAACACTGTATTGTCGCCTTCACTCTTGGCGCTCAGCCTTTCGACATGTGTCACTGCTCGCCCCGAGATTCCTTTCATCAGTACTCTTCTTGATCCACTGCAACATATTGTCAAGTCCGCTTATGCTGGCGATGGACTCAAGGTTGGACATCTTGGCGAACTGGGTGGTATTCCAGGCGTCGATGCCGAATACGACTACGTTGTCGTAGGAGGAGGTACAGCGGGAAACACCATCGGTTACAGGCTAGCAAAGGCTGGTTATAGTGTCGCTATTGTCGAAGCTGGACCTTTTCTGGAAATCTCCAAGCCCATTCTTGCGACAGCACCCGGTGGTGTAACAGCTGGTAGTGGCGCTAGTCTTCTCGACTCTAACCCTCTACGCGACTGGAGATTTACCACCACGCCACAGACCGGTGCCGATGATCGCGAGATTCACTATGCTCGTGGAAAGGTTCTTGGAGGTTCATCTCAACTTAACTTCCTGGTTTATCACCGACCGACTAATGGCACCATGGCCAAGTGGGCTGAGGATGTCGGAGACGATAGCTACACGTGAGTGACGACCTAGAGGAGTAGTTGAACTATCACTGACAATAAACCCAGATGGGAACAAATGCTGCCTCACTTCCAGAAGAGCCCCTCATTTACACCACCAGATAACGAGAAACGGGGCCCCACTGTGGTAACCGACTACGACGCTTCTGCATTCTCAACAGAGAAGGGTCCTCTTCAAATCAGCTACGCCAACTACGTTCCATCCTGGGCCGTCCTCGTGTCAAAGGGTCTCAAGTCGCTTGGATTCAAGAGCATTGATGGTTTCAGCAGTGGAAGTCTTCTTGGTTACTCATACACCACAACTACTGTTCAACCCAAGACGGCGACTCGAAGTGCTTCTGACGACTTTGTCAAGACTGCTCGAAGTGAGAAACTCAAGACTCTCAAAGTATATACCGAGAGTCTTGCCAAGAAGGTGACCTTTGACGATGATAAGAAAGCCACTGGTGTTGAAGTCACCTCTGTTGGCCTTGATTACACCCTCAAGGCTCGCAAGGAGGTTATCGTCAGTGGTGGAGCTTTCCAGTCACCCCAGGTTCTTATGGTCTCCGGTGTTGGACCTAAGAAGCATTTGGAGGAGCTTGATATTCCTGTTGTTGCCGATCTTCCTGGAGTTGGCCAGAACCTCTGGGATCACGTCCTCTTCGGACCTTCTTTCGAAGTACAAGGCCTTGAGGATACCCTCAGCGCCGCTATCAACAACGACACTATCTTCCAAGGTGCTCTTCAGGCCTACGCCGAACAGCAAGCCGGCCCTTTGACATCGAACCAGGTCGAACTCCTAGGCTGGGAGAAGACTCCGGAGAAGTACCGATCCAAGTTCTCAGCTGAAACTCTCAAAGACCTCGAGACCTTCCCTGATGACTGGCCCGAGATGGAGATCATTCCTATCAATGTGTACTCCGAGGACTGGTCGTTCCCCATTCTGCAGCAACCCACCGACGGAAAGAAGTACACCACTATCAACGGCGCTTTGGTTGCACCTCTGTCCCGGGGTAACATTACCCTCCGCACAAACTCGACATCAGACGCACCTCTTATCAACCCCAACTTCCTGTCCAGTAAGGCCGACCAAGAAGTTGCCATCGCTCTGTTCCGCCGTCTTCGAGAGATCGCCAAGTCTCCTCCTATGAAGGACACTGTTTTGAAGGAGGTGTACCCTGGGGAGAAGCACGAAACAGATGAGCAGATCCTTGCTGTTCTTAGAGATACTCTCATGACCGTTTGGCATGCTGCTTGCACTTGCAAGATGGGCAAGAAGGATGACGAGATGGCTGTTCTTGACTCCAAGGCTCGCGTGTATGGCGTTAAGGGACTCCGTGTTGTTGATGCATCTGCTTTCCCTCTTCTTATCCCTGGTCATCCTGTTGGTACCGTGTATGCATTGGCTGAGAAGATTGCACATGATATCATTACCGAACAGAAGAGTGAGGGGTCTGCGTATGAAGTTGATATCGACATCGATGTGGAGGCTTCTTGAGAACATTCTTTCAACTTTCCTTATGTTTCCTTAGACTTACTTTATCATCTTTAGCCGTAAATAGTTGCCTTATAGATTCACATAATCTCAACTCAAGAAGTTTCGTCCGCTCATGGGTCTGAAAGATCATCCTGTATGTGTTGATAACTAAGCAAACTCTCATGGGGTTCCATTCCTCGGTCGTCACAAAATCCATTTAAGCAAGGCAACTTTACACCTCTGATCTCTCATATACTATATCCACTCATCTAGAAGAGCCCTCTTCCGCAAAAGAGAGTGGAGTCACGGATGTGGAGTCTTACCCTGATGAGAGAAAAAAAGTATCAAGAGCCAAAAATGAGGGACACCAGATTTGAACTGATAACCTTTAGGAGTCACGATTGCCTCACTTGAAAACAAGCCGCTGGAATCTAACGCGCTACCGTTGCGCCAGCCCCCCGATGCTGTTGTTGAAAATGATTGCTTAATTATGGTTATGCGTCCATCAAGGATATGCCACAACCAAGACTATCATGATGACAGGCAGTGTGTACTTCCCGGGGTTTAGAGAACGATGAATTGGCGGTTGAAAATGATAAAGAAGCAATTTCATAAAATGAAAAAATTAATTCGGCTTTCGGAAGTTTGGGGTGATAGGATGAAGCAAGTACAAACACGTTTGCCAATCTTATGGGTTTTCGTGTTGCTGCCAGGTTGGGTGAACTGTTACTATCTACAACGCAAAACATCAAAACAGCTACAGAACAGTCCTGACCGAAAAATTCCATGGAAGCGACTGGCAATGGTCTCAAGTTAAAGAAGAATTTGTTGAAATGAGCAAAAAAACTTATGTTAGGACCGAGCGTGGATCGAACACGCGACCTAGGGATCTGCAATCCCTCGCTCGTACCACTGAGCTATCGATCCTTGTAATTACTGGAATTTGGAGCTCCAAATTAAAATCTATAAGCCCAAACAATAGACTCAAGAGAACAAGAAGTTAAAATGCCATTGTAAAACTGTAATTAAGTTCTTGTAAGCATATACATATCATAAAATTCCGGTATTTATGTGATTGCTTCGGATATGCCCGGCCATTTATACATCTTTGTCAAACCTCCAGTTTCTTATGTCACTTGGGAGTTCTGCCCGTCGCGACTGTATCGGCTTCTGCTCCAAAACCTGCTCCACCTACAATCATAGGATCTCTTTAAGTACTAGGTAAATCGAGAACAAATCGATAACTGACTTTCAAGCCTGAAGCTTCATTCTACGCAGCAGAGAGGGCGAGGAGTATTTGGCCTAAATGTGTTAATATATGTTCTTTGCGTTTGTGTTGCTTTAAGCCCTGAAGTTTATCCCCCCTACGATAGGTAAATCGAGATATTTGCTTTCCAAAGCCATTACTGGGCTCCATTTAGTCCTAGTTACTCCTAGGAACTGCTTGTAAGAGCATAGGCGGAGAACATAGGTGTTTGCCATCGCTTGACGGCCCAATCCAGTTAAACATGCGACGAGAACGTGAGAGCCGTGATTCACTGAGTACCGAACAAGCGCACACGCGATTGCACTGGCAAACGGGGTTAATAAACTTCCATAATTCATCTTTTAAGTTACACAGGCCCCACCTATGTTTTTGATAACTGTCTTACCTTTTCGCAACTTGTGTTTCTTTTCCTCTTCTCACTATCATTCATCCTCACAAAAAACCTCGACCAACGAGATCACGAAAGATGGCAGAACATCCAGCCGTCCCCCCAAGTATCCGGGAATTTCGTGCCTATTACAGCGGCCTTCCAGACGGCCCAAATCTTGTTGCGCGATCTTCCACGACTCCATGGAAGCCTTGTCCGACGGATGTCGATTCTTTTCTAAAGTTGCTTGATCCGGTAGAGAAGCATCCTGTTGTTCCATTATGGAATGATTCTGCCGGTCCCCTGCGCCGCAAGGTCCTCGAGGCTGTCAAAGATATCGACTGGAACGCTATCGACATTCTCCGCTGCGGTTCATCGCATGAGGGTGATCATTATCTCGTCCGACCCGTCATACTTTTTGTATCGGTTGAGCCCGAATCAACAACATGGTCACACGGAAGAGCCGTAGCCCTCAAGTGCCGCGACATTCTACGAGAGCATGGCATCAACGACGTCGAAGTCGAGATCAAGGAGTCCAGAATCACGCAATGCTGCTCTAGTGATGGTGATCAAGCACCAAGGTAAGTCGCATGACCCCAGTTCAAACTTCATGCTAATCAACAAGAAGCCAAGAGACAACCGCCAAACTTAGCCCGGATATCCAAACTATTCAAGAGGAGGCTTACAGAAGAGACAGTATCCAGCTCTCAGAGCTCTTGGGTACTAAAATTGCCTCAACCCAATTCCCCACCCGAGAAGGCACCAAAGGTCTATATCTGCGAATCCGAAATACCGGGACTGTTGTTGCCTTGACTTGCCGACATGTCGTCTTTGGAGAGGAGGAGGAAAACTTCGATTTCTATCACGCCGTGGATAACACTCGCGGTGTCATCCAACCTGGAACCCAAACAATTCAAGACACGACGAAATCCCTCCGCGAAGACATCAGGCGTTTGGATTTTGAGATCAAGCATTACGAGACCCTCACGCCGCCAGGCGAAAAAGAGCTCGAAGTCTACCGTGCTCATAAGATAATAAGGGAGAACAGCCTCCAGCGACACGAACAGTTCGAGTCGGTTGAAGCGCGAACTATTGGCCATGTCCTTTTTTCACCAAAGTTCGGGGTAAGCAGTTCTTCGCCAGGCCGCTTCCGCGACTGGGCTTTGATCGAACTGCACCAGGACAAGCACCAAACACCGTTGGCCAAGTTGGAAAATATCGAGCCAATGTCGCTTAGGCGGGGTGTCTTTAGCTCACTCAGAGAAACGTTGGAATGGAGGGAGAGCAAGGAGGAAGCGCGAAGAATCATCCCTCTTCCCGGGTTCAACCCTGAGACACAGACACAGACAGGTGTAATGTCAGAAGATGAGATGCGAAATCCTGGCTTTGATTTCCAAGTTCCAGGAAGGAGTGGAATCGATCAAGATTACATGAGGCTATGGATGTTCGGCGGTAAAAGCGAGCAACGTCTTGGTGTGACGAACACAGCCAGATCCGTCATCCGAAGAGTGATCGGAGGTATCCCGATGATCTCTGAAGAGTGGTGCATATTGGGCTACGTCAAGAATGGTTATGAGAGGACGAACTTCTCAACATTGGGGGATTCGGGAACTTGTATCATGGGGCATGATGGTCGTGTTGCGGCTATTCTGACGAGTGGTGCCCTGACAGGTAGATGGGGGCGCCACCATATTTCGTACGCGACGCCTATCGATTGGCTCTTGGAGGATATCAGATCGTATGGGTTTGACGTGGAGTGGATGGGCGAACAATGGGCTCTCGAACACCTTCACTACAGACTAGAATCAGAGCGTTGACAGGACGGTTTGATGGAACGCTTCCCCTAGGAACAAGCCCGGCATTGAATCAGTTTCTTGGGTCATAGCAGCAAGGAATAATTACTCAGTCTAGAGAATTGACAGAACTGTATTTGGCGAAGGGCTTTATGTAAGAAGAATAAATATATGATCGAGAGAATCCATTGTTTGAGTAGACATTATACTAACAACAGATATGCCGATATGGTGTACAATTGAACAAAAGTATCCCATCAAAATTAGCCGCCTCTATAGCTCAGTGGTAGAGCGTTGCACTTGTAATGCAAAGGTCCATCGTTCAATCCGGTGTGGAGGCATGCATTTCTTTTTTTGCTTCTCACAGCAGTCAATGCTCTAAAGGATAGTTGGAAATATTATATAGATTTCTTTCTGCTTACAATCGATGGCGTTTGTGTTGCTGACTTAAAGTCACTCTTGGGCTGGGAGACAAGAGGCTCGGCACCCGATGCCATTGGGATAAATGGCATACGATCTTCTGAGAGTACCGAATGGCAACAAGAATTGGAAAATAACTATTCTGGCAAATTAATCGCACAAATTGTGCCCAGACCACTTAACATGTTCCTGTCTCCTTCAAAGCGTATTCCATAATAGCCGGCTCTTCCTTCACCTTGGGCGAATATGTAACCAGAGCAATAGCCGCAATGAGAATCGAATTCTCGGTGATCAAAAGATCCTCCAATCCAAGGCCAGGCGCCAAAGAAGAGGCACAGATTGTTCCCAAATCCAGCCTGGATAACTCCCCGGGCCCATCATGAGTAAGCGCATCTTTGGCAAGGGCAAAACTAAGCGGGTTCACCAACATGCCCTCATGTGTGTAAAACGAACCACCTGGCTTTCCAGTGCAGACCTTTTGGACTTCTGCGTTTGTGACACCGACGTTTCGCGCATCGAGTAAGTAAGCTGAAGCTCCGGTGCCTTCTTGTGGTTGAACGATCTCATCCAGGAAGCTGGAGTACAGGCTAGTGGTTGGTACGTAGCCTGAATCACCGCCGTTAGAGCGAAGGGTTTTGATGAAATTGCTGCCGGCTTCTTGTTGGACGACAGATGGGTCGTTTGTAATCCCCGAGAGGTTGATGAAATTGGCTAGAATAGTGCCCTTGTAATCTGCGCTAATGGCAATGTGATCTGTAGTGAGCTTGCGGGTTGAAGGCCAGTACTTGAATGCCCATTGAGCATCAAGATTTCCCTGAGACCAACCGATGATGGCCACGCTTCTCTTGGAGATAGCAGCAATGTAGTTGAGTGCGTATGCGGCGTACTCAGCATTGACCTGCGCATCATCGAGGAGAAGTCCAGGAACATTGACCCAAACGGGATCAGCCCAGTCGACATCAGTGAGCAATGGGATAAAGCTGCCCTTAAAGGCAGTATATCCGGTAGATCCGGTCCCAGGGAAAAGAATCACCGGCAGCTTTTTGCCGTAGGTGAAGGTGTCTGGGATGAAGATAGCGGACCTGAGTTTGTCCTCACTGACTGTATAGGGTGCATCACAGCTTGCTGCCTTTGGGTAGACAGTCTTTGGCGGATCAGGATTTCTATGGAGGTTAGATAGATTGGGAATGGGAAGACATTGTTGACATACTGGTTATTACTGCTATTCTCTTCCGAGCCAAGGCCTTTGGCATAGCTGAGCAAATCATCAGTTGATCCAGAGACGACACCATTGGCAATTAGCCTTGCGCTGTACTCGACAATGTTATCTGGGTCAGATTTTGCAACCTTTTCCGTGATAGATGATGCATCGTCAATGCTCATTGGCTTCTTGGTGGGCTTCAGCTTCTGCAACGTATCAAGTGTCTTGTCTCTATCTCCCTTATTCAAGGCGTCACCTAGTTGATCGAGCAATCCGCTGACTGTAACAGCCAACGGGTTATCGACACCATTGACAAGACCATTCCGAACTTGTCGTCTCTCAATGGCTTCAGCCGAACCTTCCGTTGCAGGATATGGCGCTGCTAGCCCATACCTACTCAGAGACAAAGCTA